CAAAAGTTTATTTATTGATTGGTGGACAAAAATGTTGTGACCACAGGCTTGCAGGAACCTAACTCTGTATTTCTTCCAGGAGCAGTTCGGTATCTGTTAATTCAGTGTTCATAGCCAACCCCTTTAATCCCGTGTTCTGACTCTCCTGCTCATTCCCGTGCAGCCACATTTGCCTCTTCTCTGTCCTCGATCATATTGCTCTGACATAACTGCCGAAAATGACAAGAACCCACTGATAAGAGTATGGATGTGTTGTCCCCTCCAAAACTCATGTGGAAATTTGATCCCCAATGTGGCAGTGTCAGAAACTGATTTGAGTCATGGGGGCGGATCCCTCATGAATGGATTAGTGCTCTCCCTGGGGGAGGGGAGATAAATGAGTGAGTTCTCACTCTATTAGTTCCCACGAGAGCTCATTGCTTAAAAAGACCCTGGCACCTTCTCTCTCTCTCTTGCTTCCTCTCACCATGTGATCTGCTTGTACCTGCCAGCTCCCTGCCACTTTCTACCATGAGTAGAAGCAGCCTGAGGCCCGTGCCAGATGCAGCTGTCCCCAAATCGTAAGCCAAATACACCTCTTTCCTTTATAAATTACCCAGTCTCAGGTATTTCCATTATAGCAACTCAAACGGACTAATACACCCACCATATGTATATCCTATTACCACCTAACATCATATATTTATCTCCTTGTTTAGAAGGCAAATTCCTAAAGGGCAAGAATTTCTTTTTATTTTATTGCCTTAACAGTAATCCAGAAATACCTGTTGAATGAATAACAACAAGCAAAAGATGGACAAGAATTCCTCAAAGAACCTCAACTGGGCAATAGTTACAAAAAATGTTCAGCCTCACTAGTAATCATGGAAACGGAAACAAAAATAGCCAAAGCTCGTTCTTCACCCATCAATGCTACTACCTAGTATTGGTGAGGGTTCAGGGAAGCCAGTCATGCAGTCATTAAAAGACTCTAAACATGCATATTCTTTGACCCAGCAATTTCCACTCCCAGAAAATAAAACTTGGATCTGTGCAAAAAATCTATCAACAAGGATAATTGCTGCAGTGAAATTAACAATAGCAAAACAGTACAAATCAGTTCAGAATCTAAAAGGATTAGTGAAACAATGGTTATCCATACAATGTAATATTATGTAGCTATTAAAAAAGTTGTCAAAACTATGAGATGGAAAAATGCTCATTCAACATTAAGTAAAAATAAATCATACAAACAGGTACAATATGATTTCATTTTTATTTATAATCTATATGCATAAAAATATTAAAATGTTTGCAGTAGTTATCACTATAAGTATTAACAATGGTCATTCAACATTAAGTAAAAATAAATCATACAAACAGGTACAATATGATTTCATTTTTATTTAAAATCTATATGCATAAAAATATTAAAATGTTTGCAGTAGTTATCACTATAAGTATTAACAATGGATGATCCAAAATCATCTTGGTGTTTTCCTTATTTTCCCATACAATAAATATGCATTAATTTGTAATCAGAAAAAAGGGAGGGGGAGGTATGGGAGTAAATATGACATAAATTATGAAGTACTCAGTCTCTGGCAAAGTATTTTACCCAAAACCACTGACGGCCACCCTTAAACCTCAGTAACTACTATCAGCTCAAATCCCTATAGAAGTGGTGCTGCAGGGGTGCCCAAACTTTCAGTGAAGCCTGAGGTGGAACATACATGGAGAAGCTCAGCACTTCTAACTGCTGTGGTAACCACTTTACCCATTCCCAGCTCTACAACTTACTAGCTGTGTACTGTTCTCTTACCTGTAAAATGTGATAAAAGCATCTACTCACAGGAATGCTGAGGTTTAAATGAATTAACATTTCATATAACATTGCATATTAACAAACACACAGCAAGCCTTACCAGCATTGGTTATTAATCTCTCCCAAAACAAAACTATTAAGATGGTATCCCACTTTGGTTACAGAAATAAATGTCTTGGGGAGAAAGATGGTATTTATAACAACATGTAACTTTTAGCACGTTATTGAGAAAACATATTATTTTTCCTGTTTATTGATCACTCAACATCACTCAAAGGTTCTATTAATAAGATTTCCTGCCATCTTTTGCAAGGAGAGAAAGGAGACAAGCGGCATGGAGGAAGTTTACATTCCGTCGCACTCTACTGGTATTAGAAGCAGGCTGAGACTCTTGTGTAAGATGACCACAGAACCACAAGCGAAACTGTCATGCATTCACATACAGTATACAACTTAAGTGTGTAGAAACTAGTGTTTTTCCTGAACCAACAACATAACCAAAATTTAAAATCTGGAAATTTAATGCACCCAAATGTACAAACTGCCAAAAACTAGACACTACTTTTCAACTTCAACATTTTGAAATCTTCATTCTCCTACAAGTACAAAATGACACCAACAACAACACATTCCTAATGATTTTAATTTGTAAAACAGATTACATGCTTCAAGGACAGAACCAAAGGTAAAACCTTCGGTAGCTGACATTTTGTTCATGGTATCACACAAGGCCAGTGTATAAACACTACCTGAAAACATAGTAAGTTTTTCTAAGAGGAATAATAAATATTAAACTAAAAAGATTTAACAAGTATTCAACAATTCTCAAAGAGATATTCATCAAATTGAGGTAAGTCTAACGTGTCATTTGCTAAAGAACTTAATTCAGAAGTAGAGAAAAACTCATCAAAAATATCGGTCTTCATGGAACTCTCCAAGTTTAATGCTCTAACGCAGGCATTACTTGTCAGTGCATCTGGCTGAACCTCATGTTGATTTTTCTTGGTAGGGCTGCAATAATCATGGTCCTGTCTCAGATGTGTGTCCTGGGGAACATCATTTAATTCACTAGGTACTGGTGCTGGGACATGGTTATCTCCCATTTCCAAATACCTAAAGTCAGCTTTCACATTTTCTGAGAGCTCTGTTGAAATAATAGCTGTAGGAGATAACAGCTCTGCTAAAATTTCTTCATGAGTTTGACTACTGTAGGGGGAAGCACCAGGAACAGTGGTGCATCCAGATTTATTATCTGCAATATCAATTTGATACTGTAGTTCATTTAACAAGTCTTCTATTGATTCACAGTCATTTGGAGATCCATAATGGGGCACGTGTTCTAAATTTTCACTTGGAAGTGCTCTACTTTGGGTAGAAGACATAAGAGCAGCTAATTTTTTCTTTTTTGCCTTTAGTTTCTTTAGAAGTTTTAGACGAAGTTTATGAATCTGACCTTCACCTGAGTCTCCATGGCTTGCTGAAGAAACGCCACCTTCATTTCCTTGAGAACTGTGGTCGAGGCGAGCTCCACCTGAGGCGCGCTCACACTTCACAACTTCAGCATTAGCAGCATTAGCAGGAGCAGCAGCTGGGCCACCTGGTGATGGCGCTCTTGGTGAGGGGCTGCTGACTGCAGGAGGCTTACTTGTACACCTACGAGCTTTCTTGGATACTTGGTTAGACTTTTGGTTTACACCTTTAGTTTTAAAGCCACCAAAATTATTTGCCCCTTTAACTGAAGGCTGTAACTCAGTTACAGTGTTTCTACCATGAGCTGAAACACAAGGTGGCATAAAAGAAGCACCCCTGCTTAGTAAGCCTTTAACCCAACTTCCCACAAATGGTTTCTTCTGATTTTCTTTCAGAGACTGACTCTGTAATGACTTAGCTGTCATGGTTTGAGAACCTGCTGCAGTTCCTTTTTTCTTCAAATTAGATACCTGACATGGACCATGTTGTTCTGATTTTAATTTCTCAGTTTTTGGTGTAAAGAATTGTTTTAATTCAGTGTCCTTCTCAATTTCTACTGAATTCACTCCCTGTGTAAGACCAGTAGCATGAAAATTATTCACAGACTTAATAATTGCAGTATCTTCTGTATTCAGCTGTACTGACTGCATGTCTGTATTTACATCTTGAGATGGAAAGCTTAAATCCACAAATTGGTCTTGGATAAGCTTTTCTTTAAATGGAGCTGATACTAAAGAAACCATTAGTGGTTCCTGCAATTGCAAAGTATTTGTTTTGACAATTCCTGTATTTTCTGCCACAGGTTTATTTTCAGATAGGAAAGTTTCAGAGTTAACCTGAAAAACAGAGGCAGTTTTCTGGACAGTTTCTTCAAGTGTCAAAGGTAAACTATTATTGTCAACCAAACCTTTTGGACTTGAAAGTAAATGATCTCCATGAGCTACAGCCTCATCCTGTGGAAGAGTATGAGGAGCAATGGACACATTTGTACGGTGAGTTACTCGGAATGTTTCAGCTGAGGCAGCACTGCCCCTGGAACGTGACGCTGGAGATACTGGTTCCTCATCCCCAAAAGGGCATTGATTATTAGTCTTTTTAAGTGGAAGGCAGGCAGCTTCTTTATCTGTCACCTGGGATGTTCTTTCCCAAATAACAATATGTATCTCTGAAGCAGGAACTTTAAACTTCTCATGCCTCGCAGTATGTGGGCCTTTTAAGTCATCGCATTCCAGCCAGCCTCCTGGGGGATGGGAAAGAGAGAGAGGTCAGACGTTCAAAACCACCATCCTTGGTTAACTTTTCTCTGGCCTTAAACTGCTGTATCACTGAATACCTACCAAAGGAGAACCACTCTAAAACACAACCTTGTCCTTGTCACCATTCTTCTCTGCAAATGTTAATGTCCTTATTTGGATAACAATAGTTATAGCCTAATATATTCAGAAATTTGAAAACCTGAGGCAGTTTTTTGGATAGTTTACACTCTTTTCTAAAATACCTACAAAAATCAAGACAGACTTTATTTAAACTTTGGGACTAGAATATAGCACTGCCTAATTTATCCAACATTGGAAAATAGAAGAAATTGTTTCACATGCATGAATTCTCAAGATAAATGAAGCTTGATACCTCAAGTACCAACATCTGTTTTAATTCTTTTTTGATTTCTGAGCTTGTTTTGTCATCTGTCAAGTGGGAATGAGAATATGGATGACAAAGAAAAACTTTAAGGACTAAGAGAGGTCTACTGCATTAAATACCATGGACAAGAACTGCAAAGACTCCATTATTAATAGCAGCTTGGTCACTGGCAGTTATTTTTGTCTGCCCAATTTCTGTGGTGTGGTAGGAACAGGAATCATTTTGTAGCGAACTAAAGTCTGAAAGAAGAGTAAGAGGGTAACTTGTTTAAAATCATTCCTTAAAAAAAAAAAAGGACACCCATTAGGATGGCTATTATAAAAACAAACAAAAAAAGAAATAACAAATTTTGGTGAGGACGTGCAGAAATTAGAATCCTTGTATATTGCTGGTGGGAATGTAAAATGGTGCAGCTGCTGTGGAAAAGACTGGAGGTTCCTCCAAAATTTAAACATGGAATTACCATAGGCCTAGCAATTCCACTTGTAGGTATATACACAAAAGAACTGAAAGCAGGAACCCAGGTTCTGTCCACCAGTGTTCATAGCAGCATCACTCACAATACATAAAAGGTGGAAACAACTCAAATGTCCATCAACAGATGAATGGATAATACATAAAATAAATTATTATTCAGCCTTAAAAGAGATTTTAATCTTTTAGCTAAATGCTACAACATGGATGAACCCTGAAAATATGCTAAGTGAAATAAGTGAAACACAAAAGGACAAATAGTGTATAATTCCCCTTAGATGAGGTATCTAGAACAGGCAGATTCAGAGGCATAAAGTAGAATAATGGTTACCAGGGGCTTGGGGGGAGGATGGGAGTTGTTATTTAATGAGTAGAGTTTCTGTTTGCGATGATGGAACATTCTAGAAATTAATGGTGGTGATGGTTGTACAACACTATGAATGTATTCATTGCCCATGAATTGTACACTTAAAAATGTTAAAATGATAAATTTTATGTTATGTATATTTTGCCACAATAAAAACTAACAAACAAAAAGCATGGCTAAGAAGAAAGGTGGCTAGGTACTGATAGGTGATGTGGGGTTAAGGAAAGGTGTATTTATTTATATTTTACTTACTACCAGCATGATAATTTAGGAAAAGCTAACCACAGGCCTGGATGAGTAACCACTTTTAAATAATCAACAATTATCTGTGCTTTTATTACTGACTTTTCAAAATAATCCATACTTCTACTATATATCAACATCCATATATCTATAAAATGAAAATATACAAAAAGTATAATGTCATGAGAATTATGGCAAATGTGCAGCTTAATCTATTTCTATGAATCCAAATAAATTAATAAATCATGATGTCAAATACTATACTTCTTATAAAACATTTTCTATCCCTATGATTAAAACAGTGAGCCCCCAAACCGCTAGGTTTCTTCTAGGGAGTATTATTTTAGAAAACACTGTTTTGGTAGAGAAGTAACAACCAATATAGTGTTCTTTAACATTGCAAAAGTATGTTTAGAGACACTTAATCTTAAATATTAAAAGTGCACTAAGTTTCCCTTTTCCTGATTCATGCACATCCATCCTTTTTGAAAAAAGATTTCTAAGAGCACACATAGAAGACACACAGTTCACACAGATGTGTGTTTAATGCTGAGAAAGACCCTAAGCGTGTGAGGGGAAAAAGAGGACTCTGCAACAGGCTTCGTATAAGGAACTAATCTTGAGGAACAGGGAAAGTAATGAAAGAAGAAAGAGACCGACTGGTCAATTTCTAAGGTATAATGATTATTATGATAATATGATAATAATTAGTGGCTAATTAAGAACAACAAACAAAGGTCTAAGACCCATCAAAGATTTAAAAAACACTCCCCAAAGGGAAAAATTAAAAACAAGATTAAAATATTAATTAAAATATAATATCTTATATAAATAAAGTAAAACGAGAGCATGTTACATAACAAAAGTATGGATTCTTTGTTAAGTCACAAAAAGGAAAACAAAATATACTCAGAGATCTGCTAACCCTCCACATACACAAAGACAAAACCATTCACTAAGTATGTGGTTTATGTATCCATGCGGTTTATGTGAATACACCATCATCAACTACCTGAACCTACTATTTCTCATTCTATACTTATTAAAACTTTGAGAATCTTTTGTTTTCCCGTCAGTGGTTCTCCACCATGACTGCACAGGAGAATCACCCGGAGGGCTTTTAAAACAATACTGATAGTTAGGCCCAGTCCCAAGACTCATTCATTGGTCTAGGGTAGAGCTTGGAAATTTTTACAAGCAAACTAAATGATTCTTTTTTTTTTTTTCCTTTTTGTCTTTTTTACTGACCAGTAACGGGATCGCAACCCTCGGTGTCGCGCCCGCACCGCGCTCAGCCAGTGAGTGGAACCGTCTCCACATGGGATCCGAACCCTCAGCGGGAGTGCTGCGCGGCGCACTCTCCAGCGCGCCACTGGGCCGGCCCTAAATGATTCTTATATGCTGTCATGTTTGGAAACGATGCTGCTCTTGAAGTGGACTTTTCATTCCCAGGAATTCAATAGAAAGTGAAAATAAGTTGGTTGATGTTATTGAGAACTACTTCCCCCTAAAATCTAAAACAGGGTAAAACTTTAAGGTAATAATTACATTTATAATGTAAGTTTCAATTTGCAAAGTACTTTTATAATACAGTATTGTGTCATCCATACAAAACATCCCCAGGAGGAAAATATCAAGTATGAAAAGTATCCAAACAATAGAAAATGCTTATATCAAAGTGAGCCTTTACCAATGGCCTGATACAACACTGTAAGGAAATTGAGTTGTCTTGTCTAAGACAAAATGAACACTATGAGAAAAACAAACCCAATAGTAAACCACATTAGACATGGAAGAGAAAAAATTCCCAAAATTCATGAACTATATTTATTTAGTATTGTACTGAGAAGTTCAATTATTTAAATAGGGTTTATCTTAGCTGTAACTATTAGCAAATTATGGATTACAGATATTCTATTTGACTATGATAAGAAAGCTACATAGTCTAATGTTTAACAGTCTTAGAAACAGATGTTTATTTTTGTTTTGTTTATACTTATTAACAATTGCAAACTAAGCAAAATGTATTTGTGCTGTTCTTTCTCAATTAAAAACCTTCAGTATAATTCACTTTTTTAAAAAAGTACGAGGTATTTAAAAAATTAAAATTCCCACCATTCATTTTTCTACATTGAACATATATTACTCATGTAATAAAAACAAAAAATAAAAGCAAAGCTATTAAGTGAGAAAAGCAAACTGTAAACCAATAGTAATATATGATCTCATCTTTTATCTAAAAAAGAAATATGCGCCTGGCTAGCTCAGTCAGAGCAAGAAATATGCATATGCACATGTGTATACCCATAATATTTGATATAAGAAAAGGAAAAAGTAAGGAAAGATACTAAAATCACCAAACTTTTAATAGGAAAGAGGGGAGGGGCAGAAGAATTAAAGGCAAAGACAAGAATAGAACGAGAAGAGTCAAGACAAAGTTTATCTTTTTTTAAAAAACAAAAAACCAAAAAACTAAAGTTTAGTTTCCATGCCTATTATCATATAAGAAAATGCTTAAGCACTTACCATGAGTGTCTAAAATCCATGTTATAAAATGACTATTTGCTTGGTACTAAAAAACAAAAAACCAAAAAACTAAAGTTTAGTTTCCATGCCTATTATCATATAAGAAAACGCTTAAGCACTTACCATGAGTGTCTAAAATCCATGTTATAAAATGACTATTTGCTTGGTACTGAATTACAGAAGTTATCTGATAAAGACAGCCTTGAAAAGAAAATGCATAGCGCTGCAAGTCATTCTGTGGTAAGCCTTCTACAAAGTGCAACATGAATACAGTAGATGTTCTGTGGGGGACAAAGGCAAGAGAAGTCAAACAAATTTAATGCCATGTGTCTGGTTATACAAAAGATGGTCTGAAGCAAACTAGTCACATATAATACTTTCAAGGCTAACTGCACTAATTTTTCTTGAGCACCTCCAGATGTGTGCCTTAATTAGAAATGGAGAACTCGCTCTAAGAAGTACGTAACACTAAACCCTGTTCAGAATGGTATCACTGACAGTTGGAAGCCATCATGCAATAAAACTCTAACACAGACCATTAAACAAAAATTGCTCTGGTAAGCGACAATGCTGCTTTGGCTTAAAGAAGATCTCATGGTAGCTACTCTGTAAAATCAAAAGAAAAAATACAGACCTTTTAGAATTTTCTTTGGTATCAAGTGTCCAAATTAACTGCTTTTATTAGGTGGGGTAGGTAATATGTGAAACAAAACAACCTAAGATATTCAAATAAATATTAATTTGGCCTATTTTTCTCAGTTATCTCTGCAAATAGAACAATTTATTCAAATTAAAATTTCTACTTAGGAAAAGTTTAATTTTAACTAATTAAACAAGAAAATATAACATACTGGTTGATTTACTATAAAGGTCAAAATATCCATAATTTCAAAACTACTTTTCACCATTAGAGCATGATGCTGAACCAGAAAGTAGAATCCGAAGATGGGCCTCAAATAACTGAATTTAACAAAGCTCTCAGGATTTAAGAAAAACGTTGACTATCCCTTTTCCCAATATTTAAACAGCTGTCAAAACTTACTTAGCTTATCAAAATTTGTTCAGCTGAATGGAACTTGAATCAGTGTCCAAAATGCAGATTATTTAGATTGACAAGGGATAATTTGTAAATTACTCCTTGTCAATCATTTCATTAGAGAATAATCAAATCCTCAAAATTTAAGCACTTATAAAAAAAAAGTCCTGCAAATTATCTATAAGACTAAACTCTTACCCATTTTTTTAATCATACCTATTTCATTAAACCTAAGATGTCACTGATTGTTACATGTAGCACTATAAAAAAACACTGCCAATTAAACAATACCATGCCATAAATTTTTAAATGTATTCTCATTTCAGATATGTTAAAATGTGAAGTGTATGTCTCTGAATCAATGATCTACAGTAAAATGAGCGATGTATTCTCACAGCTGGATATGCAGTGCAAGCTTCTGGCACCTGCCTGATTCTTTAATTACTAATATTTAGTTCCCTTGGCTTCATACAATACCTTTCAACATATCTCCTGAGGGTAGTTACTAAACAATCTCTTGTTGATCCCTAGACTACAAAACCTCACTGATTTCTGCCTTTGTGTGAGTTTACACATGGAAAATGTTTTTAAAAGTACATATTAATATGAATAAAATAATGCATGTAAAACCACCTGACACATTTTTACATTTTGTACATTCCAAGCATTCTCAATGACTCTTTTACAAATTAGTAAAAGTAAAAACCACCAAGACCAAAACCCACACACAGCACACTTTCTTGGATGTAAGAGATACTCAAACTCCAGTTGAATACACGTAAATTCCCTTAGATAACAAGAAATGACTTGTCAGAAACCTTCCAAGCTTGCTTTGAGGTCCAGATAGGGCAGAAATTTGATTTTCTTATCCAGCAAAAAAGGGATAACAACAATCAGAGCAATTACACAAATTTTAAAACATCCTTTTAATTACACTAGCCTCTCTCTCCAAAAGATCAATTAGCACACCAAGGTTATCTAGGACTTAGTCCAGATAGGGCAGAAATTTGATTTTCTTATCCAGCAAAAAAGGGATAACAACAATCAGAGCAATTACACAAATTTTAAAACATCCTCTTAATTACACTAGCCTCTCTCTCCAAAAGATCAATTAGCACACCAAGGTTATCTAGGACTTAATGGGAGTGAAATGATACAGAGAAGAATCATAATTTTTTAGTTTTACTACCATTTCATCCAGAGGCAAAACCCTCAAAATTATGCTATAACTACTTTCTATAAGTATGAAACATTGTTTTGTAAGTTTCAAATGCCAAATAAATTCCAATTTTTTCCCTGGATTTTACCATCTCTGAGATTGGGATACACCTTATAGTTGATGGCACACAGTTAAATACACAACATTTCTTCCGTAATAATATATTTTTTAAATGGGTGCAACTTATAAACAATGGCATCTTGGAGTCAATCAAATAATACACTTCCTCCCCTTTTCTTGTTCATTTTCCTCCTTGGTTCCCCTATAAGTCACTGTATTCTTCTACCTGTAATTCCAGCTTGTCTCATTTCCAGCCTCTCAGGTGAGGGTAAAACTTTACCTCTAGACTTTGTTCTCAGGCTTCTTCCTACCTGCAATGCCTGAGTGTCAGTCAAAAATAATGATCAGGGTTTAGGAGAGTAAGTTAGGTTCTGCCTTAACCATAGGAAAATTGGGTAAAAAGAATTAATAGAACTGGAACCAAGAGACAACAAGAGATTTCAAGCTAAGACCCATTTGTATTCACCTAACGTGGTGCTGAATTCCTCCTATTTTAAAGCTCTACCCTCAGGAAAAGAAAAAAGAGAGAAAGACAGCACAAGGGAACTGTGCTAACCCCTGGAACAGCAGGGGAAAACCGAGTCCTTGTCCCACAAAAAGCAGCCACAGTCTTGCATTAATGGCCTGGAATACAAGTTTTTGATTTTCATCCCAACTTATGTAATAATTCATATTTTAGAAAATGAAAATTTAACAATGTGCATACATAAATATCCAAACTGTATTAATGTAGGTTTTAGGCAGAAAAAAAATCTCCAAATAAAATTTTTACACCTCATTACATTTTAGGGCTATGATATCATTGTTTGAACTATTTCAGCCTCTATGACAAAAAATGAAAACTAAATAAAATAGGAGTAAAATTAGCTATAATTCAAAAGAACTACAAGTGGTTCACATTAGTTGTAACAAGAAAATATGTGTTTAGAAAAATTCAACTGCACAAAGGTTTGCAAACCTTTGGAGGTAGTTCAAGGATCTTATAAATAAATAAAAAAGTATTTTCTGCCAAACAATGAAGATTTAAATAAAGAAACATAATTTTAACTATTTTGTGTATCAGCATTCCACCCAAAATTTCATAGGGGGGATGTACTTTATCTGTTTAAAAAAAATGCCTCAAAATCATTATATGAGACACTTTAATGAGCTCTATTCTGTAAGCACAGAACAAAAATGTCTTATCTCTCTTCCTATCACTCCCCTATCCTTTACAAATGGTTATTTAATGAACTGTTAAACTGAAGTTTAAATATATTTAAATACATTTTTCATAAGCCAACCCAGGATAGTATATGACCAGATTCTAAAGACTGTGGCAGTAATGACAGGTTTAAGAATTTGTGAAGTAAAATTAAATCTGATTTTAAGTTCTTGGTGCTCCATGTCATCCATGCTTTGAATATAACCCTGAAGCAATTTACCTAAAAGTGACATATTTGGACCTGCTAGGCATCATTCACCTGACTTATCAATGGACTTTTTTTCTAAGGGGAATATGTTAAAGACATAGATTTATCTGAGACAAGGTGTTCTTACAACACTATTAGCTTTTAAAATCCTGTTTGATTCAATTACACATTGTATCATGATGGATGTAATTACTTTTAAGTTATCCCTAGAAAGTATATCAAATTTGTATCTAAATTCCATTAGATGCCAACAAATCAAGTTATACAAATTTCAAAGCAGAAAAACCACAAAGGACTTATGTAAAGATCTTGTTTAGAATTTAAGTAAAATTTTACATACTAGTTCAATTTACTTTTGAAGAATATAGGAAATGTACAAATTACAAACTGGCCCATTTGAACTCGAAATACATTTTCCACTGAAACACTGTTTTACCTCACGGATACATTTTCAGATCAGAGCATGAATCTTTAATATAAGTAAAGTAACATATCTGTGTAATTAAAAAGTATATGTTGCAATGCAACCAATCAACAGATAAAACAAAATAACGTTGTGAGTCTATCTTCAGTGCTGGGACTTGAAAAAAAATCAGGTATAAACAGTTGGATGAAACTATATACACCAAGAAGGCTCAAGCAATCCTGTGGTCCAGTGCAGGATGGCAGACACCCACACCCTGATGTCCTTCTATCTGCCTCATCGTCAAGAAAAGGGATTTAAAAAAGAGGCTTCCTCAATACTTAGATCTCAAAACTTTGACACCAGACAGCCAAGACAGACTACAGACATCTGGTTAAAGAAACCTCCTCTTCCTTCCCACTTTGCCTTCCCACTCAAATGCTACCAAATGATAGTGACGGACAAAAAAAAAAAGGTAAGAGTCCAAAGAAAAGAAAGGAGAAATAAGCAAACAAGAGGTCAAAGGATATTCAGAAGACAGAAAGCAAATAAAGAAACGAAAACTTAAATAGCAGAATGGATGAAGACATAAGTGCTACAGAGCGGGCATACTGATAAAGGAGAAATAAGCAAACAAGAGGTCAAAGGATATTCAGAAGACAGAAAGCAAATAAACGAAAACTTAAATAGCAGAATGGATGAAGACATAAGTGCTACAGAGCGGGCATACTGATGAGAAGAGCTTATTTGTCCCATAGAACCCCTAAAATACTCGATATTTATAGGCAACAGATGCTGTGGAATGTGGGGATGAGGCACTGGCTAAAAACTGGGATAGTGACTGAAAGTGTGTATAAAGAGCACCCCTGAGCACCAGGTGCAGAGAGGAATTAGTATAGACTGGAAGACTAGCAGAAGAGAGGTTTCCAGGAAAAATAGGGAGGGGGGATTAAAAATTATGAAGCATTTGAGTGTTGGGAATTTATTAATAAGTGTTTAGAAGAGCATTTGGAAAAAATTCACAGTGCATAATAAACTAAGCAAATGAAAACACAAGGCAAATAATAACTCCAGGAAAAGTAATTATAAAAGATATGAAACCTAACCATTTATATACTTCTTGGCTAGAGAAGGAATACTATTATGCATACTGATTAATGATTTAACCAAATATGTAATCACGTTGGAAGGACAGGGAGAGGCTAGACAGAGATGGAGCCCAGGTGTTGGTGTAAGAACCCTAGTCCTCAACTACTATAAAAGGAGAACAGACTGCATTACAGCAGAATAAGCACACCACTGTGAAATGTCAAAGTAACTACTACCTTAATTTGAAGGTTTAAAGTAGTTGCCTAGAGAGGGGGTGGGGCAGGGACCACCCCATTTTCCTTTAAAGCCTTTTGGCACTATTAGATTACCTGAGAATTTCTTACTTTAATGAAAATAAACCTCTAGGAAAGATTGTGAGGGGTCTCTGACATATTCAGGGTATCAGTGGTTAATGTCACTGGTTCTTTATTATATCAAATTATACCTCGAAACATTTCCTTGACACAGAGTTAGACTAAAAATGAAGGTTAAAGCGGATGTACACATATGTGAATACATTAACAAAAGACACAAACTGCCTAAGAGGAACTGACCTGTGAGTTTAAAGAGAGGGGGCTTTTGCTAACATTGAAAAAGGTAATTCTGACCAACTTTCTCACTAAGGACAAACAGAAAAGCTGGCAAAGTACAATGAAAACAATACCTGCTCAAGGGCAGGAGAAATAGCTGTGATAAGAATGAAGAATTAGCAGGCAGAAATCTGTGAGAAGATGGAAATTCAGCCCATGGCTCACCTTTGAATCATCTTACTTCCTGAAATTAGATTAAAGAAATCCCAGAATTCTAGTGATTCCAGGCACTTGACAGAAGAGAAAAATATTGAAGCTTAATATCTTTAAAGGGAGAAAAAAGGTAAAATGGAAAGACACTAGGAGAGTGAGGCCAGACATCAACCTAACTCAGCTCCTCAGTGGCATTTCACCTGGGACAGTTTACTTACTGGCCGGAGTTCGTGAAAAAAGAGAGGCATTTGGCAATTCCTAAGTATACGTTAACTCAAACTTCTGAAAGATAGCTGTAGTCGCCAGTTTCAATTCTACACTTTACAAAAAATGTAAATTCACCTTCATTTGTTCTAAAAATTATAAGGCAACTTTAACTCACCTTTCCAATACCATTTTTCTTATTTGTGATTTGTTCCTGCAATTGTTGCAGGGACCAAAATGGGCAGCATTAAGTGGGTGCCACTCAGGGATGACATTTGTAAAGGTGACCAGACTCTTCACACACCTATTTTAAAAAAAGACACAACTTAAATTCGTTTATTTTAAATGCATATACATTAATTTAAACCGATGTCTACCGAGTACTCCCCTTCATTTGTTTATTCACATTTTCCTTTTTCACCAAATATTAATGTGGTAATGTTCCACCCAAACCCTAGTAAAGAAGCTCTCTGTGAAGACTCTCCACATTAATTATCTATAGCTTTTCAGCTATGAGATGAAGCAAGAAAATGTTAAAGGCAGGGTTTCTCAACAATACCACTGACATTTTGCACCAGATAATTCTTTGCTAGGAGGCATCGTTCTATACATTGTAGGATGTTTAGCATCATCTCCGACCTCTACTCACCAGATGCTAGTAACAGCCCCTAGTTGCAACAATCAATGTCTTCAGACACTGCCAAATGTCCTGTGGTGGGTAAAATAGCCCCTAGTTGAGAACAACTGTTGTAAGGCTATCAGATTTATAAAGAGCTCACCCATTACTCAAATAACTCAATCTAACTAGCCATTACTGGCAACCACGAATGAAAAGGGGAGTTTTCAAATATGTAATCAGGAATACATACAACATAATCTTTTTGATCCCTATAAAAAAATTACAGCATCAGTTGTAAAAGAATTTTTTCACAGGTTTCACCAATTCTAAATTTGTACTTTTAGTCTGAATACTTGATAGCAACAGCCGTCTAAAAAGATGATCTTTAAAGATACACACTGAACCTCAATTGCATCCACTTTAATAAAAATATTAATTTTAATTAAATTTTAATAAAATATTAATTTTTACTAAATTTTAATAAAATATTAATTTTTACTAAATTTTAATAAAATATTAATTTTTACTAAATTTTAATAAAATATTAATTTTTACTAAATTTTAATAAAATATTAATTTTTACTAAATTTTAATAAAATATTAATTTTTACTAAATTTTAATAAAATATTAATTTTTACTAAATTTTAATAAAATATTAATTTTTACTAAATTTTAATAAAATATTAATTTTTACTAAATTTTAATAAAATATTAATTTTTACTAAATTTTAATAAAATATTAATTTTTACCCTGGGCTCTCAGAGCTTTTTCTATACACTTCTATAATGCACTGATTACCTTGTGTTGAAAGATAACATAAAGCAGCCAATGAATTAAATTAATTACTAAGTCACTGGCCCTCTACTATGTGCTCCCTAGCTAACTAGTCTGAATTTGGCCAGGACAGAGACTATTTCCAGTGCATAGGTGAGTTCCTGGCACATGGAACATACTCAATGAAAAACTGTCACACTCAGATATGGATTCCAGAAAAGTGACAATTAGTCTGACTTTAATCATCAAGCTTGCTTATACTTTTTAAAACCCAGGTAGTGATTAGGGAGTATACCACAGTGAGCAAGAAAGTCTTAGAGACCAGAAAAGCCTAGTATGACTCCAGATTCTGCCTCTTCTCGTGTGTCACCTTTGGCAGGGATCTAACCCCTTTCAAACTTTAGTGTCCACATTTGTCAAATAAGGATACTGGGATCTTCCTCACTGAGTTATTATGAGAAGGAAACCAAATAATTTATATTAAAGTCAATGAAAGAAGACCTGGGAACAGATACTTGTTCTTATATTCACTTGTTTATACAAAATTACTTAAGTCCTAGGTATGAGTAAAATGTTCTAGTAGTTTTGAGCTACTTGGTTTAAAAAATCAAATACTTTCTCTTGGCTGCATTCCTTAGAGCTTCCTCTCCCAGAGGTTGGCCCTTAAATACCTACAAAGAATCTCATATTAAGATAATAAATATCTAAGTAATATTTTTCTCACACATTTATACTTAATAACTTTGAGAGACTCAAAGTTTCTAACTTACTAGTAGGTAAGTTAAAGAAGAGGAAAAGATTGATCTCTATTGTAATAATGACCAACAGAGCCAGTATGGTAATCTTTTTAACTGCCAGCCAGCAACATTCTCAGGTATGGACAAAGTGAGGGTATCATGTCTGATGAAAACTTTCTCTCCCTGGATCCTCTTCGAAAACCTAATTCCTTTCTTATGTGGTAGGTATATAGAAGCAAAAGAAAATCTGAAGTTTCTTTCTTCTCCATACTTCCTCCAAAGTGCCAATCTCAGGGCCACATATATTAATCATAGCCTTTCTAATTCTCACCTAGAGATATCAGGGAAGTAGAAAGTAAGGCTGAGACTGCTCACATGTAGGAGCTTTTCTGGTGGTGGCTGGTCTTTCAATGGGGCTAAGGGAAGGAATGGGGAAGAATTGCTCTGAGAATTGCTGCCAAAATCTAGAAGCCTAAAATCAGTTTCTATGATGTTAAAAACTTAAGGTAAAAAAAAAACCACACATGCACACACACAAAACTTGGTCTCTAACAGAGGCATAAAAAAATTGCATATAGTTTCGAGGAGTTCTGAGAGGTATTTTAACTCAGCAGGGAATCCAGAGGGAGAGTGTGTGTGTGTGTGTGTGTGTGGGGGGGTCATCCTTCTCATTAGTCCCCACTTCCCACTAAAGAACTTCTTAAGAAAACTCCTATTAGCAATCTATCAAACCATAGGTTTTTGACCATTCAGTTTAAAGAGGTAAGCAAGCTGCAGTTTCAAATTTATCTTTTTAACCTTAGTGGTGGAGAGACTTCAAGATGTGGTGGGATGGGCCGGCCCGGTGGCGCACTCGGTAGAGTGCGGCGTTTGGGAGCGCGGCGGGAGCGGGTTCGGATCCCATATAGAGACCGGTCCGCTCACTGGTTGAGCGCGGTGCGGGCGGGGAACCGAGGGTTGCGATCCCGTAGCCGGTCCCGGTACGGGTGCGACACCGAGTGTTGCGATCCTGTTACCGGTCATGAAAAAAGACAAAAAGGAAAAAAAAAAAAAGATGTGGTGGGAAATCCTGGCATGGGTAGAAAAAACCAGGAAGAGTGCAGCACTACAGGTAGAAGCAAGTTTTATCCAAATTACATTACTTGAAACCATTTTCAATGAAATGAATTAATTTTAAAAACCAGAAAATCTTACCTGTTTTGATACTGGTGTCCACACTGTGAACATTTAAAGTCCCAAGAAAAAGAATACGTGAAGAGCTTTTTAATGTTGGGTTCTAATTTTAAGAGCAGGGGAAATGCAAACACAGGACTTTCCATATCACCTTCAAAAAGAAAAGGAAAAATTATTGCTCATAATTAACCACAAAAAGTAAACCAAAATTATGAACTTTTGTCTTTTCTCACCATATTTACAGTAGGAATATATGGGAATACAGTATGACAGAGTAAGTCATTCACAGTTGGATGGGGGAAAGTTTTCAAAGCATTTTCCTAAAAATGTCCCACATAAAGATTTAATTTTCACCTCAGCCACTTTCATGTTTTTTTTTTTTGGTGGACATTTATGAAAGTTTCAGAAGACAGAAAACACAAAAGACCAATGCTATTTTCTCAAATCTTTCTAGTTTTCCTCAGGGGGAAAAAAAATCCTCAGAACTATAATAGTCTTCGAGTATATTAAAACAAAAGTTATGTAAATGGTTTGATACAGATACTAAAAAAACATAACTGGTGAAAACACTGTAGAATAATATCAGAACTGGACAAAATCATGAAAACACCATTCCTATTCCAATCTTCTTGTTCTGCACATGGAGAGGGCAGGACACGCAAGCGTTAAGGGACCAGCCTCGATCCCAACTCTTCATCTTCCACTCTTTTCAACCTTTTAATCTAATCTTTTCATTTAACAATTAAATTCCAACAACTCTGAAATTAGAGAATATCTGAATTTTGTTGTCATTAAAATGAAAACTGAACAGTTATCACTGGCTTCCAGCTTTGAGATCAGCAAGTAAGTAAAATAGAAGGACTTAACGTTCTTCTTACATTCATTCTCCAATTGGTTTCTCTCCTTCCTGTCCTCAAGGGAGCTTAGATACTGCCTTACTGATTTGGCCCCTAAGGGACTCTGAGTCTTTCTATCCCCTTCTTCCCCTGGATAGAGCCTCACTTTCATGGTCCAGTTCTCCCCCTAGCCTGGAAGAACAGCTACCCAGAACATGGCCAGGAACAGTCACCTTGGCAGGACCACAAGGCAGACAGTAGGTATTGTTGCCTAAGCATATTCTATAAATATCAGTAGTTACAAAGGCTATTTTAATAGTTACCTATGTGGTATAGCCCTGCTACTTTTGTACAAAAAAACTAAATCAATACAAAATATTTTTTACAAATAGAAATACAATCTCCTAGAAATAAAAATACACAATACCATACCTATAAACAATACATAGTACAGTATGAGTTTGTAATTAGTCATCAGCCTTTAAATGCTTATTCTATTGTAACTAAATATTAATTGAGAAAGCATACAATATATATTTCATAATGACAACATAAAATCTTCAGGTATAAAATACATGAAGTTCTGGGCCAGCCAGTTAGAGTGGTGTTGATGACACCAAGATCCAGGGTCTGATCCCTGTACTGGCCAGCCGCCAGAAATAATACATACATAAAATAAAATATATAAAGTTCTCAGTGAATCAAAATATCATGAAAGAGCTCAAAACAAACTGTTAAATAAGTTACACTGATTAGAAATCATTTTAGGTAATTCATATAGCTCCGAAGTTGATCTTAATTATTTTTCCTTTGATTACAAATTTTATGAATAGTAAGTACAAAGCATCTTAATAGAGAGGATAATACCAATGCCTAATTTCAATTTTTATAACCTCCTACCTAAATTAACTAAGTGGTCTCTGCCTCTAAAATCTTAACCCTAACTCCTCACTCCAACCCTTAATCTAGTTTGCATATTTCCCTAAAATACCTTCACTTGGCATGATGCAAACCTCTGACTCTTTGCTGTCTAGCTATATAAGTTTTCTCTTCTGTTAACTGCTCATTAATATTTTCAGGTCACTTTTCTATTAGGTTGTCTTTATTTGCCTGATACACAAGCCTTCTTTATAATATATCCTGTATATTATTCGTTTGTTCTATCTTTGCCAAGAGGTTTTAAACTTTAATGTAATCTTATTTACCATCTTATCTTTATCTTATTTAAGAAACTTTTCCCCACTCTGAAGTGATAAATATATTCACCTATGTTTTCTTCCAAAGTTTTACAACTCTGCTTTTCACATTCAGGTCTTTATGACTATAGTGTGAAGTGGGGACCTAATTTTCTCCCTGTGTCAGGAACCAGTTGTTCCACCACTATCTATAGCCTTTTCTTTCCCCACTTACCTGCATAACTACCTCTGTCACAGTATGACGTAACCAAACGCAGAGGGTTCTGATCTTCTGATCTAGACTCTTATCTGTTTTACTGGTCTGTCTATCCTTACACCAGTACACAGTACTCACAGAGTAAATTACTCTTTAGACTTATATAAATAAGTAGAAACCATAGCAATATTAGCTTGTGCTTTTTTTTTTTTCTTTTTTTAAAAGAAATACAGACATTGTAGGGAAGAAAACACCAAATTGAAGAGAGTAGTTACCTTTGTGGGGAGATAAGGAAGAATTTGGGAAGAGTACAAAGGGGGCTTCGGTTGTATTTGTAATGTTATATTTCTTAAACTGCAGGGAGGGAGAGCAAAGAGGACAGTTTACAATGTGTTTTTTAAAAACAATAGTCAAAATGATAAAGAAGCTGATCTTAAAAGTTTAATCAGTATTCACCGTCAGTACAGATTTGACTTTATTAATAAGATCTTAAGCCCTAACAGAGCACCTGTCACTGTTAAATAGGTAGTACAAACAAGAAAGAATCCTACTGTACTGGAAGAACTGTATTGCTTGGCAATTGTTAAGATTACACAAAGTGACAGTTTAAAACACTTGATTACTCTAGGAGGGAAATGGCATCTGCCAAATGTAATACGGAAGCAAGCCCCTCAGTCTATACTCAGGGGTCTTACCAAAAAGGCTCCTTTAAAGTAAGTATTCACCAGCAGACCAGTGTTTGGGGATGAGGAATGAGGCTGACTACAAAGGAGCCTGATAAAAAATTTTAGGGTGACAGAACTGTCCCATATCTTAATTGTGGTGATGTATACAAAACTGCACAAATTTAAAAGATTTTACTGTATGTAAATTATACTTTGATAAAAATAAGAAAGAATATTGATTCCATCTGAGCTCCCACCTGATGATAAGTGAGAACAATTCTTTAGACCTAGAGGAGGCAATGCCTGAGATCTGGCATATGAAAAACCAGTTTTTATTATAATAGAGTAAACTTAGACAAGGGCACTTCAAAAAGTTCATGGATTCATATTATCTTTTATTTATATTTTTCCACAAACGTTCCTAAGTACCCTCATATAACGTAGGAAACCATGAAAAACAACGTAGAAAACTAGGGAGCAGAACTGTGGAACAAAGAAGTAGGTCGGGCCAGTTGGCTCAGTTGGTGAAGAGTGTGGTGTTCATGACACCAAGGCCAAGAGTTTGGATCCCCACACTGGCCAGCCTCAAAAGAAAAAAAAAAATTAAAAATAAATAAATAAAAATTTTTAAAAAGTAGGTCAAAAGTTGTCTAGCATGGACAAAAGTTTTTATGCTTCCAGATATAATATCTGGATCTAATGAAATAAATGCCACTCACTGAAAGAAAATCTAGAAAGCATTGATACTCTACATAATTTAATATGGATTATTACTAACAGGGAGTATCATATATTCTGCTACTATAATATTAATAGAAGAGTCAATACAAGGATAAAAGGGAAATAAAGACATTCCTTTCAAAAAAAAAAAGTCACCAGCAGCTCCTTTTTTTAATACTAAAAAAATTTAGAAAGACCTAGACTTTCTAAGAAAGACTATAGCTCCCTTGCTCCACTCTGCTGCTCTAGGCCAAAAACCAATTCAGAGGTCCCTTTTTAAAAGTGAGAAAGTTCTCCCAAAAGGTCATCAGTGTGTTTCTCCTAATCTCTCTCTGACCAAAACATTGTCATCTGTCCATTCCTAAACCAATCACCAGTAAGAGAAACACAATTACCATGGCTGGTTTAGATCAGAGATTCCCAACCCTGTCCACACATAAGAAACATGTTGGAGCTTCTAAAAATTACTGATTAACTGGGACCCATCCCTGAGATTCTGATTTAGTTCACCTGGTATGGGCCCTTAGCACTGGTATTTACTTTGAAATTCCCTAGGTGCTTTTTTTTTTTTTTTTTTTCCTTTTTGTCTTTTTTTTGTGACCGGCAACG